CATTAAGAAATGAATATATATATATATATATATATATATATATATATATAATCATATTGATGCCCAAGAGTCAGGGGTTGATATTGAGGGCAAGATGAGGCTGGGCACTGGGTTCTGGAGCTGCCTGCGCCACTCAGGAGCGTGGGTTACATCACCACCAACAGAAACTCAGTGGGTGAACCGCCCCAGGCAAGAAGCTGCAGGGCTGATGGAAGCCTGTTCTCTGACAGCTCCCACCCTGGGGCTCGCCTGGCGCTGCTCTTCTTGCTTTCACTGACTTAAAACAGCTGCCAGGGGGACGGGGCTGGAGAGAGGATCCCCAAGAAATCTCTAGTCAGGATTGGACAGAGATAAGGGCTCCTGCAAGGATCCGGTGGAGCCAGGACCAAGGGACTGGAAGGGATTGGTGGCGAAGAGGGCCCTATAAAACAATTCTAGCAACATGTTTTTGTTTGTTTGTCACTGTGCCCGCCTCTCCTTTGACTTTCGTGGGCTTGTGTGTTCTCCCTCTCCACATCTGTGATTACCCTGGGAAGAGCATCCATGGTCTGCACAGCATCCCCAGGCACCCCCAGCGTTTCCCAGAGTGCACCATTGCTGCCAGGACATCAATGACCCTGCTTAGCGCCTGCAGGGTCTGGGCCCTTGGAGCAGCTTGGGAACCAGGCTCAGGCCCTGCCAGTCAAAGACCGACCAACGCAGCTCTCTCTCTGACTGATGTATCCCCTGACTCCTGTCTACAGAGCAGTTGTTGTCAGGAAGCAATATGGTGTCTGGATGCCCAGGACACCCCAAGCTTGGGAAAGTGCTTCTTGGTTTCTGCCCCTCCCACTGTTGGTAGGCGGATTGCTAATACTGGGATTTTTGCACTTGTCTGGAGCGGAAAGTTTCCAGGGAGATGTTTTGACAATTGATTAGTTCCGTACCTGCTTTCTAAAAATGGCTAAACACCTTTCCCTTGGAAGAAAAGTGAGAAATGCAAATCTTAATAACTCGAGGCAGATATTTCCAAGTGTAAACACTACCATTATCCACTCCCACAAAGAAAAGCATCCCCTTCAACAAATATTTGATAGCTCAGAGCCCAGTAATTAAGAGAACAATCCAATAATCTCAGAGCTTTTGGGGGTGGGGGTCCTGAATTACCATTCGCTAAGACGTTATAAACTGGGTGATAATTCACTGCCCAGTGTGTATCCTTAAACACCTGTGCTATATTCCCATGAGTATTTCACGAGAGAGCTGAAATAATGATAATCACATAATAAAAATATGAAACTCTTGGATTAATGTGGCCTCCTCACACTGTTGGAGTAAAACACCTTCCATGTGTGTCCTTTTCCTCCCAGGGCTCTCTGTCACAGCTCCTAGTCAGTCACTTACAGGTGAGAATTACTAGCTCAGTGATAAATGCCTTCTGCCTTCAATCCCAGAGCTGCTCTCACTCTGAAGAGTTCTGGTCTGGGGAAACAGCTCATTAAGAGGACCTAAGTTGGGTTCCCAGCACCCAGATCAGGCTTTTACTCTAGCTGCAATAAGATTTGACACCTCTGGGCACCTGCACTCTGGTGCACAGACACACAGACACATACACACAACTAAAAATAAAAATAAATCTTCGAAAATCAGCAGCTCCTGCCACGTGAAGGATGGTCTATTCCCCTGGTGCATAGCTGTCTTTCAAAGTTGGCTGTTAAAGGGTCAAGCCTACTTTCTCTGGAAGATGAGCAAAAGGCAAATTAGGACCAGTTGCAAAATAATGGCCCCTCACTCTACTGATCAGAATATATGTAAGCTTTGTAAAGGGATGGTCATACGTACATTCGTTTCCACAGGGGTTTGAGCTTTCTAGAACATACTATATGAAGAAAAGAGGGTGAAGTAGATTCTCTCTTCATGGGTCACTGAAGGCACCTGCTTGCCCTAAGCCAACCAAACAGAACAGGGCCAGGGCCTCTCTACAGAGGTCTTACTTCTAGTTCTTCAGTATTACAGCTTCAGGGGCAAGCAGGTGTCCTGCTGATGAGGGAACTGGGTTGGTGGAGAGGGAAGACAGCAAGTTCCCTGGTTATTGAAACCACATTCTCTCCAGCCTAAGCCATGGTTATTATACAAGCAACAGCAGAGTTGATCAAAAACTTCCAGTGGGATGATTGTTTGTGTTAAGCTTGAAGAGCAAACCCACATTAAAGTGGGGCTATCACATTGAACATCAGGGTCTCCATTTATCAAGCAGGTTCTTAGCCAAATGCTTTCTGAATGTGTTCCTTTCTCTCCTTCACACCACAGACTTGCAAGAAGTGTGGCACCCATGCTTTGCAGCAGGGAAGAAGGGAAGCTTGGCAAGGCCCAGGGACTCATCCAAGGCCCTGCTGTGTGGCAGCCACTGCACCAGGGCCCACATCAGACTTGGCCAGCCCCAGTCCATCCCACTTCCCCTTGACTCCTCCCAGATGCCAGGGCCAGCTCACAGTGGCAAATGTTAGGTCACTGTACATGTACAACTTAAAAATGGCAAATTTAAGGTTGGGGTTACAGCTCATTAGTAGATCACTTGTGTAGCATATACAGAACTCTGGCCTCGGTTTCCAATACTGCCATAAGAACAAAGTAAAACACAAAATTTACTACATAAATTCCAGACATGAGCCAATGTTGGGAACCTCGCTCACTTTGGTCTTCATATGACTATGAAATAACCAAAAAACTGTATGTGCACCATAATGTTGAATGTAGGTGTGTGTGTGTGTGTGTGTGTGTGTGTGTGTGTGTGTGTGTGTGTGTGTCCAGGGTTTTAAATAATACATAGAGAATTGTCTTATTTTGTAGACTATATAGTATATGGACACATACTTGCCTGTGTAATTAATACATACATTTAAAAAGTTAAACCTTGAAATTCATAGGCTTATGTGAGCACTGCTCTTCACACGATGTGCAAAGTCACTCAACCAGTCAGATGTGCTCAAGCACGCCTGTCGCCATAGTACCTGAGAGGCTGAGGTAGAAAGATCATGAGTTCAAAACTATCCTGGGCTTCATTACAAGTTCCAAGACATCAGGACTACATAACCAGACCCTGTCAGAAAGAATAAATATTTAAAGTAAGTGAATCCTAAAGATGAGCACGTAAGTCACTTAATTTCATTCTGTCATCTCACAGACTTGGAAACAAACATGGAGAATTATGTAAGTTCAAGAAGGCTATACAAAAAGGGATTGAGCCTGGGTTCAAAGCAAGCAATGAGAGACTCTGCTACACTGACTTTCAATATGCATATAGGCATAACCATATACACATATATGTACCTATATATATTCATGGACATATACTGTTCATATCTAGAAATTATACCAATAGCAACAGGAAGCACTATGGATGGATGGAAAGCCCCTATGCTTGAGATATTCAAGACAATGTTGAAGCCATCTGAATTCCTCAAGTATAGCTAGAGATACTGGGAAAGCACTATTAAATATCAGTTATTGGTACCCAATATTAGTTACTGGCCTATGTGCACAAGATCTGTTGGTGGATTTGTATAGTTCTATGTGTTAAAACATCAGAGAAAATGTACTTGGGGATCTAACTGAAAAGGGAGGAATACAGTCGTTATTCATCCCGGTGCTATGACAAAATGTCAGACACAGGGTAATTGCTTGTTATTTAATAAAGCTCGCCTGGGGATCAGAATGCAAAGCTAGCCACAAGAGTTAGCCATAGATTCCAGGCAGTGGTGGCCACACCTTTAATCCCAGGGCTCAGGAGACAGAGGCAAATGGATCTCTGTGAGTCCAAGACCACCCTGGGCTACACCAGAGTGAATCAATCTAAAAGAGTAACAGAGCTCACACCTTTAATCCCAGCACTAGAGTGATATTTAAGGAAGAAGCCAAGGGTCTCATGGGAGATTCAGTTTTCGGTTACAGGGAGGGTAGGATCTCCTTTTCAGCCTTGGTAGAGGTAAGAGCTACTGGCTTTTCTGAACCCCAATATCTGTCTCTGGGTTTTTATTATTCATGCTACACAGGATAGTTTATAAAAAGAGGTTTATTGATCTCCCAGTTTGGGAACTGCAAAGTCCAAGATATATGGCTATTTCTCCTCCCAGGAAGGCCTCACACCATTAAAATGGTGGGTGAGAAATGGGAGAGTAGGTATTCCAGAGAGACCTAGAGGGTCTCAACCTGGTCCTTGACAAAGCTCTCTGCCTCTGCTCACCAGGGCCACACCCCATGCCCTGGCACCCTCCATTCCTTTGTTGACCCATGCATGTCCGTCACCCACCCAAACTCTACATTGGGAAGCTCAGCCTCAGCACAGCTCTGGGAGAGACAGACAGGAGCCCCCAGCAAAGCATACAAAGCCCCGAGAAGAAGACAGCACTCAAAATGAAGCAAG